CAAGTCCTGGATCAGGGCTATGAACCCTGAGATGCTGGAGTGGCTGATAGAAATCACTGTAAGGGCAAAAGAGGGCACAGAATGAGCCAGGGTGGTAGCTTCGTTCTTCCTGAGGCCTCTGTCTGCTGATGGCTTGAGGGCGGTGCTGGAGGAAAGCCTGCAGATGGCTTTCCATGGACAGTCTGCACACACTGCCCATGACATCCATCTACAAGCACAGAATCGAGGCCCGAGATGAATGGATACAGGTCAGGCTGCCTCTTGGTAGGTTGAGAGCTATGCTCCAAAGGGCCTGATGAGCCACCATGGGCTCAGAAGAAGCCTCGGTGCAAAGTGGAGATGGCTTACTAAGCAGAGTGTGTCACTGTGAGCATTCATGGAACAAAGCAAGCGCCACCCAGTAAGTGGATACGAGCAATGTCTGAGAACTCAGGGAGGGGAGCCTGTATTACAGAACCATCTGGGCATAATAAATATGATGTCTTAAAATTTTAACTATGAACCTGCGCCAAGCATGGGGCTAATCACCTTCCACAAATCAGCTCATTTGAGTTTCTCCCAGTGGCTATATGAAGTAGATTCTATTATTTTCCACATTTCACAGTTGAGGCAGCTGAAGCAGAGAACAGTGTCACCGCGAGCTGGTGGCTGAGATGGAGAGCCCCATTGAGTTCTGAGATTCTCCTAGAAAGTGTGAGAAAGGGGTGAATGTGGCCATGGGTGCTGGTGCACACCTGAAATCCTGGCATATGAGAAGTAGAGGCAGGAGAATCATAAGTTGAAGGCCAGCCTGGGACACATAGACCTTGTCTCCAAAAGAAAATATAAAAAATGTGTACTACAAAAACGATGGTGACCACCATGTGTCAAGTGGCTGTTACTTCCTTCAGGAAGCTTTTCCTTCCTTCCTCCAGGGGTTAGTGGCTTATACTCATTTACTTACCAGGCACCTGGTGCTCAGCACTGGCCCTGAAACATCCCATGGTTTCTAGTTTCCTGTTGTGCATGTCTGCATCCCTCCTGGGCTCATTTCATCCATCACAGAGTCTCAACATCGAGCACAGTGAGGAGGTCTGGGCTTTCTGTAAATGATGGCAAGAGGCTTGGAAGGGGGTTTAAGGTGGTGAAAGGTGTGATGGAGACCTGGGAGGTGGGAGGACCTGGGGCTATGGAGAGTGAGGGCCAACAAAGCTGTACAGGGCATGCATAAAGAAAACTCAACCTAAGACTAAATGGGGGTGAAAGACAGGAAAGTGTGTAGTCTACCCAAGCCTGGGGTACTGAGGGACCTGGTGGAGTCTCCTTTCCTGCAATCCTTGAATGGCCTGGGAAGGGTCATGATAAGACACTCCTGGCTTCTCATCATTTTTTTCTCCCAGAGCCAATAAGTCTGTAACAGTGGATTCTCAAGTTCTGAAAATTGGTCTGTTCTTTTCCGTTGAAAGTACAGGAGTGAAAAGTCATGGAGGAAACTTAAATGTAGGAGAGTAAATGAAAGAAGTCAGCTGGAAAGGTTAAATACTACAGCATGTAATACTACAGTTAAATACTACAGATCCTAACTGACCTTATGGACAAGGCAAAACTAAAGACAGAACAGAGTGGTTATTAGGGGCTGACGGATGGGCGAAGATGATGAATAGGCTGAGCACAGAGGAGGCTTAGGAAAGTGAAATGATTCTGTATTATGACCACAGTGGACACATGCCATTACACATATGTGCAAACCTGCAGAATGCAGAGGCAAAGAGCCAACCCCCATGTAAGCTATGGACTTCAGTTCACATTGCATCAAATGTGAGTCAATTTTCTGGGACAACTGTAACCCTTTTTGATGCAGGGTTTTAACAGCAGAAGCCAGGACTGTAGGGGAGCTCTATTTTCTGGGTAATTTTTTTTGTAAACATAAACTTATTTGTGCTGGTTAGTTTTTATCTACTTGACACAAACTAGAGTCACCTTGGAAGAGGGAAGCTCAACTGAGGGATTTCCTCCATCAGACTGGCCTGTGGATTATCTTCTTGATTGCTAATTGATGTAGGAAGGCCAGTGGTGCCATCCCGGGGCGGGTGGGCCTGAACTGTTTAAGTAGCTGAGCAAGCCAAGGAAGCAAGTCAGAAAACAGTGTTCCTCCGTGGTCTCTACTTTAGTTTCTGCCTCCAGTTTCCTGCCTATCCTGGCTTCTCTTGATGATAGATCTGTAAGCCAAATAAACTCTTTCCTCCCCCAAGCTGCGTTTGCTATGTGTCATCACAGTAATAGAAAGCCAACTAGAAACACTATTCTAACAGAGATCTGCTTGCCTCTGCCTCCTGAGTGCTGGGATTAAAGGCATGCACCACCACGCCTGGCCTCAAAATTATTTTTAAAAAGCAAGAAAATTACTGTTCTGTTGGAAGTGATCTTTGAGACCACGTTTAATCCTCCTGTGGAATGTTCCCCAGAGCCCACACCGAGGGCAGATGTCCTTGGCTTCCAGATGTATAGATGCCTGTTTCCCAGTCCTTATAACCTACTGGACTGGGGACACAGTGGGTCTACAAATAACTTCTCCCAGCCTCCAGGCAGAAAATGTTAGTCTGTTTCTTTGGGCTCCATTGCATGGCCCTTCCCATACTCGGTGTCTGCTAGGTTTCCTTCTCCATTAGCCTTGGAGGACCACTGGACCAGGTGTCCTGGAGCCACAGAATCCATCATGAAGCTCTCAGTGTGGCATCCCTGTGGCTCACATTCAGGTAGCTGGGCCGCTCTTTGGTCACTTAAAATGGTGCATGGTAGGCATCAGGGACTGCTCTCTTGCCCCGTGTGGGAACTGATATGGTAGTTAACCACAGGTGCTGTGACACATATACTCTGCATTAAGTTTTATGGTCTCAGCACCACCATGCTCAGTGTTCACCCTCTCGACAAATGACTAACACTCTCCGGGACCCTGTTTTGCCTGCTAGACCAGGCATCTTTACTGTGGACTTTCCCCTTTATCACCTTGGAAATGCACAGACATTAACTTTTATGCTTTAAATTCAAAATAGGCAATAAAATTAAAGCAGCAGGTTAGTGATAATCTACAGGGTTGCCTGTGGAGATGAGTGGCATCTCAAGAGTCCTTGGAGGGGTCGAGGGGTTCTGAGGGTCCCCCCCCCAGCAGTGTAGTGCTGGTCTGGAAGAAATACAAAGGACTGAAACTTCCATTTACACAAAATCTTAGCATACAGGAGCTCAGGGTGGGCTACTGGCAGTGTGATCCCAGGAAAGGTGTAGCTTAGCTTACCTGTCTGCTTCGAACAGCCAGTAATAAGCCCCATCTGCAAACACCTTGGAGGGCAAAGGGAGGAGGCTTGTCAGAGGTATACTGGATATGCATGTTAGAGTTAATTGGTGTGAAAGCCACTCCCCTACTCCCAAGGGACCAGCAGCTGCCATCTAGCAAATGCCCACTGCGCCTGGGTGTTTGACTTACATCAGCTACCATCCTCTCACGGTCTAGTAATGAAGACAGAGGTAAATGATTCTAATTTCTGAATTAGGAAAAGAAGGCCCAGTGAGGTTGGTGACAGATTCAAGTCTACAATCAGGTGGTAGTAGAGGAGGCAGGTCGGGAAGCTTACACTGTCCCATGATGCTCTGGAGGTAAAGGTAGAGCCTGGGGCTGTCTGAGGGGAGAGGGGTTTGAATGTCTGCTGTGAAGAGGGAGGATGGGACTAGAAGCCACTAGACCTCACAGGCTGTGGACCTGGAGCCTTTGCATCTGCTAATCCTGGACCTACTGGTGTCCAGGGGCCGTTTCTGCAGTGATGCGAGGCAGCCTTCTCCTGTGCTAGCAGCTGGGCTGGGTGTAATTAGGTGGGAAAGGGCCTAGAGCTTCCACACAGGCAAATCACAACCTTGCAATTAAGAACAGCTACCGGCAATGAGGTGTGACGAGGCCTGTGACTTGTGCTGTGCTTATGACGGGAGCCAGTCAGCCAGCACGGGCCTGCTGCGCAGCTCCTTAGAAGAAGCACTGCGATGGGCATCTCGGTTGACCCAACGCTCAGCTGCCCAAGCCTGGGGAGCAGTCTCTTCTGAGGACAGAACTGGTTGGCATGGCCCCCTCTCTCTCATAACCTGGGCACTGATTTTCAATCTGAGTAGATATGTGGAAGGTGATTTGCTCCCTCACACTACAGGGCCTCTGGGGGTATTTAAAAAGACTAAGTCTGGACCACTCCATGCTTGGAATACTATGAGGGTTCTTTCTGTCAGAAGCAACTAGGTTGGGAAAATAAATTCTGTAGATAACAGCTGTGATGGAAACGCTGATGTGACCAAGCTGAGGGTGATAGGCAGGGTCCCCATGACTTGGATGGGCTGCAGTTAAACAGGCCTTGCCTTTCTGCCAGCCTCTGCTCTAGGAACAATGCTGATGTGGATTCCTTGATGTCGGTGGTACCATGCAGCTGTCTTCCCAGGGCCCAGTAGCAGCCCTGTCCCTGGTCTACAGGTCAGATGGCTGCTGCTGGAACTTTCCCTGGAAGGAGGGAGGAATAGTCCCAGATAGGTCTGCACGCCTCTTCCTGCCTGCCCCAATGGGAGCTGAGGTTCTTACCTGGAGGTCTCCTGGACAACCTGCTCGAAGAGGCACTGGATGTAGGACAGGTGGGAAGGAAGAGCCAAAGTTTGCCTCCCTGGTGGAGGCTGCCCACAGCAACCCTGGTTCCCTTGGGCCCACAGTCAGGGCAGTGACACTTGACCACACATCAACTCCTTTTAATAAATGGAGCTAACATGGTGCTGTATCAAGGGCAGTATGAGGCTGTCACTCAAGCAATCTGCAATTATCCGACTGTATCCAAGTGTTCTGCACCACTGTCACCACTGGGGGCACCTGGGAGATGGTGGCTGTGCATGTCCTTCAGCTGAGTGTGTTCTTAATCCTGTTTTATTTCCATCACCCATGACCACTGTCACCCACTTCCCACCCTCCTGACTCCACTATTAAAGTCACGCTTCAAAATGTCATTTTCTTTTAAATTTTTAATCAGTCTGTGTTGAGAGAAAACAGGACTCGATCAAGCCTCCGGCCCTTGCTGCTCCAGCAGTACAGTGATTTTATGGATGAGTTTTGCTCATATTTGTCTAAAACCCAGAGGAGGAAAGGAATTGACACCACAGACCAACATGTATTTGAAGAGACATTCATAGACTCGACTCCTTAAAAAAACAAACAAACAAACAAACAAAAACCAATAGATTTCTTAGGCACAACACCCAGTGGGTGCCTTGAAACCCTCACAGTAGGAATACAGGATGACAGACAGGGCCAAAGTAAGAGGGCAGGGTGGCTTGGGGCTGGGAGGCCAAGCTCCCAGATTTTGCAGAACAAAATAGAGTGGGGTGTGTGAAAGAAACCAACTCGCACTTTCTTTGGAAGCAAAATGTGTTTACAGAAACAATTTCTGTATTGGAAAAGAAAAGCATGGTTAAGTTTTGGGTGGTGGGGGTGCAACATGAACAGTGACTTGCGGAGGAAGGCATGAAAAGACAACAGTGAACGGAGTCTTTGTAAAATGCCAAAACCAAATGTTACCCCCATTACTTGGCCCACCACAAGATGCATTTGAACACGTTCTCACCATGTAACAGTTACAGGTTTATCCCACGCCAGGGATCCACGGCCAGGCCATGGATGCAAATACTGATGTTACATCTCCAGAGGGCAGTACAGAGATGGGGGCGGGGGTGTCTCTGCTTGAAGAAATTTCCAGAAAGCAGATTCGGCTTGTCTTTCCTTTTGCACAGAGTTGTCCAGACGTCAGAAGAAGGACCGCAGGTCACATGAGAGCCTCTCCTCAGGAGCCTGTCCCTTTGCTAAGGGTATAGAGGAGGATTTGCCTCGTGGCTGGCAGTTCAGCACAGGCTTTCTACAGAGGCTGATCTGTCCAGATCTGGAGTCTCCAGAGAGTTGGAAGCAGATTTTAGAAGCGAATTTACATAATGTGACATGCTTTCAAAGGGGCAGGGATTAGTCACAACAGAAGTTAACAGGATGTGGGATGCGTCAGAATGTGTGTGGAACTGTCCCACCTTCTGTAGCAAGAGACACAATCAACACCTTCATGAGGGCAGCACAGGGGTGTCCCCTCTACCTTTCGTTCTCTGCTGGCCATGACAAACCCTCAGGTCTCATTTAAAAGTACTGTCGTGGCTGGCTGTCAGACTCATGGTGGTGTTTGAGATGTGTGGTGTGAATCACTGTCCCCATATAGATGAATTAGGGAAACGTTCCTCACTTCCCCAGGCTCTGTCTTCCTGTGCCTCACTCCGAGGTTCAAGGTTCTTTCCCCCAAAGGGACAGTGGAATTACTGGGACGTCAACTGGCTAGGGGTCTTCTTCCATCAGAGGGATCTCTGGAAAGGAGGAGATAGTCATTGGCTTAATATAACTGAAAACTCCACAATGGGAATTATGAGCTTCATTAAAACAGCTATGATTCCAGGAATCAGTGAAGAGAGGAAGACATTAGGTTCCATGTATCAGTCAAAAGTCAAATAAACCAGCCCCCTCCGCCCCCAACATCTATTTGCTTGAGAACAATTTGTGATTTTATTTCCAGGTCATAAAAAAGGATCATATAGGACTGGAGAGATGGCTCAGAGGTTAAGAGCACTAGCTACACTTGCAGAGGACCTGGGTTTGGTTCCCAGGACTCACATGGCAGCTAACAACTGTCCCTAACTCCAGTCCCAGGGAATTCAACTCCTTCTTCTGGCCTCCATGGGCACTGCACATGTGGCGCACTTACAGACATGCAGGCAAAATACTCGTACACATAAAAATAAATAAATAACTTTTTTAAAAAGGATAATGCTAAACTTTAACCACAAGGTCTCATAGTCACACAGGCCTACGTGATATAAGTTCAAGTGCAGAGAGGCAGGGTGGAGCACGGAGCTCTGGGGGCCAGCAGGCCTACGTGATATAAGTTCAAGTGCAGAGAGGCAGGGTGGAGCACGGAGCTCTGGGGCCAGCAGGCCAGTTTCTGTACTCTTTCTGCTGTCTCATGTGCTACCCACGGGAACTGGTGTGCTGTTCTGCAGAGTCACACCGGGGCTTCCCTTCCCATCAGACACATTTTCCCTACTTTGCCATGGCCTATGATCGATCCTTCCCTGACAGGTGCACCTTTGACTTTACATAGGGTTAACTGACTTCTATGAACACAGCATTGATCTGAGGTTGGGGGCCACATCACCTCTAGGTGAGGCTTGCATCACTCCCCAGGGCCTATGGTGTGAGGTGGGGCCCAGTATGTATGCCAGCATGGAAAAACCAGCCTCCATTCCAGGTCAGCTCTGGCAGGTGTGCTGGGCCCTGTCATATACATCTGGATTATTCCTCTTTGCCCGTGTGTGATTCCATTCCTAAGTCCCACTTTCAGAAGTCCTATTCAATTAAGGGATAAAGAAGACAAATGCCCACTTTAACACAGGCATCAAATGTGAATGCTGGCCACTGGTAGTCTTTTGAGTCTATGCCTTTGGGGACCTTTTGGGTCTCCTAAATTTTCACTACTGGGCTCATCACTCACAAGATACTGATCACTCTTTACCACAACTGCTCGGACTACAGTCTCTATGAATAGAGAGAGATGTCATCACTGCATCAGTGGCCTTGACCCTATGCTGAGGAGTGGGTGAGGAGCTGGATGTGGCTTCAGAAACACTCACCATCTGCAATGTCGATGCCCGGGCTGGTGGATGCTACCTCCCCTGCTGTGTTTCCAATTGTGTCAGGGGTGTCAGGGACAGGACCGCTGCCCCCTTGGCACATGGGAGTTGAATATAAACTCTGGAGCAGCTCAGAAGAGCCCGAGGTGCTGTCACAGGTTTCTGACTCCCCAGGTCCTGTGTCTGTGTCCCCGGAGCCAGGGTATGCTGGAGGACTCTGGTCATCCACAGGTAAAGGGCAGCCCTGGCCCACAGAGGCCAGGTACCCAGGGCCTAAGGCACTCGAGCCGCCACTCACAGCCTCGTCATAGGATGGGAGCATGACGGGCACTCCATCCACCACCACGAAGTCGGGGTCACTGCTGGAACTCCTGGGAGGCCCCCTGTGTAGAGGAAACAGTGGGAAGGCATCAGGGGCCATTGCCACCCCAGGAGCGAGACAGAGTGGAGAAACAGCCTCTATCTGGGCTGGCTCTGGCAGACATGCTATTCACCACGGGCAGCCTGTTTCTGGAGAGAGGTTTTCCGTTTGTCATTTTCCATCCTAAGGAAGGGTGGACAGTAAGTGCCCACAGGGGACAGCCAGTCTGTGCTTGTTAGGCTTGTTCATTAAAAGAAAATCAGCTGTTTTTAGACAAGATAAACACAGTGAGAAGGAGAAAAGGCAGGCTGTGACCGATCGTGTCATCCAGCGACCTGAGCTCACAGCCACCTTTGACCCACTCGGTATTGTGGTCCAGGCAAGGCTTGCTCAGCTGCTGTGATGGCTCCAAGTGGCAGGAAAGTAAGGCTGCCATTTCCACAGCACTTCCTCTCTCATGCACAGCTCCTGGCCTGGTCCCTGTGCATCTTACTCCCAGAAAATTCAGTGCTGATGGATCCGATCCCTGGTGGTATGTGACACCAACGCCTGTACCCACATGACCATCAGGCTCTGCTCCTGGCCCTAGAAGGAGCCCAGAGTAGCAAGTCAAATAAATAGCCCAGGGTTTGATTACTTCCCCTGCTGGGAGCTGAGGCCAGTGGGTGACACAGCAGGAAGACAAGGTGATCCGTTTGGGTGTGGAGATCCCGAATCCCTGAGCTCTTCTGGCAGGGCACATGACATTTCCTGAGATGACATTTGTGGTGGAAGGGCAGTGTCAGACTGCACTGTTCTCTGACGCTAGATGGACAGCCTCAAGTTCACGAATATGACTTTGAAACATCTTGCAGAGGCTTAGAGCTTACGGCAGTGGCTTTCTTGCTCTACAGTCCTTAAAGGCCATTCAGAGAAGGTAGGAGACCACCTAGCCCCATAGTCCTCAGCAGGCAGGAGGCAGGAGGGAGGGAAGAGCTTGCTCCCAGGCAGATCTGCCAGTGTACCTGGGACAAGTGGCGTGCCCCCCCCCATTCCACTGTCTCTCTCCAGTCTTCTCTGCTCCCTCAGGGCTTCTTCCTTCCCTTCCTTCCTTCCTTCCTTCCTTCCTTCCTTCCTTCCTTCCTTCCTTCCTCCCTCCCTCCCT